TCCGAGGGTCCAGTCTAGTCCAGTGTCCAGTGTTAGGTAATTGAATAAAGTGGATGCAGTCAAGACAACAGATCTTCAAGGGAAGAAGGTACGTAGGTAGGGAGTATACCATTCACTTCTGCCTAGGTTACGCTTTATATGAAACCACCCCAAAATCAACAAGGTTTTCACCAAGAGAGAGCTCATTTTCAATGATCTCTCTGGGTTCCCTGTGTTGGTGCTCCACTTCTTTTTCACTGTGACCCAGTTTGAAAGGATGACCCTTACGTGGGACATGAGAGCCATCTCACAGAGCAAATGGAAAAAAAGTTGTAGAACCATAAAATTAATACGTTTCTCCAAAAGCCATAAAATCTACTTAGCCTGTTGCTTATTTTTTAAAACTGCTCATTCTGTGAACTGAAGCTAGTAATGTAGCAAAACCTGGTGTCAAATTGGAGAGAAATATACTCTCCTCGCTGGCACCAAGGAGGGAGCCAGAGGGAACAACAGCAAATGTGTCTAAGCAAATAGTAAAATCTAACACAGGGAGGAGTAGGAAAATAAGTAAAAGACTGTCTTTCTCCCTGACATATATCTAATTGTCCCTGTGTCTTTATGAGATAAATTACTTTTGGAAATACTTATTTAGAAATTAAGAAAATTGAGGTACTTAATGGTTAAAAAAAGCTATCCAAATATAAATCAGTCAACTACTCTGACTTCAAGCTCATACTTAATACTGTGTGTAGGCATCTCAACTGTTATTAAAGTGAGTAAGATTCAAAATTTGGCTTAAAGCAAGGCAACTGAACTGTAGCTGGCAGTGTTTTGATTTACAACTACATATGTTTTTTTTCATTGATTTTTTTCCTTACTCTTTACCCTGAGCAGATAGAGCTATAAACAAAACAAAGAGTGGAGGCTTCATTTAACTTGCTGGATGGATATTTTAATCCACAAGATAGAAGCTATTCTAAAAAGCTGTGGCTTTAAATTTTCAAGAACACAGATCTAATGCAAGAACGTACTTTAGCATGAAAATCTCGGCCAAACTGTAATACACACAAGCAGGCTGAATGAGCTCTCGGCAGGTAATGGTCAGGACGGAGGACAGCAAGCAGGACAGATGCCCTCCCCAAATACTTCCAAGGGATAAGGTGCCCGGGAGAAGGGAAGGAGTGAGATATCTGAACTACTTGGGTTAACCTGAAAGTGACCCAATTTCAACTAGCAATTTCGTCAACAATAAACTACCTAGAATAGGAAAGGTAACATTTTTCACATCTGCAAAAGCATGGGCTCAGGACACAATTTCATTTTGTCAATGTTGAAATAAGTACCGAGGGAATTTTGCAGCCGTGTTGTATGCATCGTACCTATTACACCACGTTTCAAAGAACACAGTTTGCTAAAATCTAAATGCCATTTTTTGTTTTTCACATCTGAAATCAGAAAAGGTGAGTTGCTTCCATTTGTTACCAGTTTTGGGGAATTTCCTTTTGGAGGAGTTAACCACAAGCAGTAGGCAGTTTAGATTCTAAATAAAAGGATGGTGACTAAGATGAAGAATGAAGGTCAAGGACTCACTTTGTGCAAAAAATATCCAGTTGAATTATGAAATAATAGAATATTTAATCTCTCACATTCTTTAGAAAGAAATGAGTGAAACAAGGATTTGATGTAATCAAATTTAACTTTTGGGGGGATATTTATCAACACTTCTATATAATCTGGTTTTTAATGATCTTTCTAATTGTGAGGCTCTCTATCCTGCAACACTGTTCTTCTCTCACACTGTCATTAAGGAACCAACTTGCCAGATTTGTCTCACTTGTATAGTGAGAGTTCTCTGAACTCACTGAAACATTCGATATATTTTAATAAGTGAGATTCTTAATGGATACAATTAGAAAATGTTTCTTGTTACATAGGGCAAGAAAAGAAAAAGAGGATTATTTTTATTTCTTACACAAGAAATAAACAAGCTCACAGTAAAAGTCTGGCATGTTATTTAAATTGTGCGGGAATTGAAATGAAAGAAATTAACAGAAAATGATGGTAAATGAGAAGGAGACTATTTTATACTAATTGAGGGCCTGGAATATCCAGATACTGATTAATACAAAGAAGTTTAAGATACAATGTCACACAGGCAAAATGTTGGTAAGGAAAAAATTTTTAACCAAATAATCTAGACTGAGCTATATACAACAGAATGGAAAACTAGTAATAAGTCCTCAAAAAGAAGTTCACTCAAGCCTCAAGGAGAGAACATCTGAGTTCACACACAGAGTCCATGAGAGAGAGAGGGTCAGCCTGTCTTATCTTTACAACAATAACCATAAGTCCCATGTTCTCTTCATCACAAGAATACGAACCAAGATTGCTCTATTCAGAAAAGCTTTCATTTAGAATGAAAGGGCAGATAAAAGTGCTTCTCAGATAAGGTCAAGTTCAAGGAGTTCATCATCACCAAGCCCTTGTTATATGAAATGTTAAAGGGACTTACCTAAGAAAAAGAAGATAAAAATGATGAACAGTGAAAGGACAGCAAACTCACGGTTGTTAACAACCACACCTAAAACAAAAGCAAATTAAGAGGACAGCTAGATCAGGAGCAGAACCATAGAAATGAAGATCACATGGAGGGTTAGCAACAGGGGAGTGGGAGGAGGAAAAAGAAGGAGAAGGTACAGAAAATAAGTAGCATAGATGGTAGGTAGAAAATAGCGGTGAGGGCAAGAATAGTATGGGAAATATAGAATCTAAAGAACTTGAGACATGTGGTCATAAACTAAAGGGGGGAATGGTGGGGGAGGGGTGTGCAGGGTGGAGGGGAATGAGGAGGGGAAATAGGACAACTGTAATGGCATAATCAATAAAATATATTTTAAAAAAGAATACATAGGTGTGTGTAAGTTACATAGGAACACAATGGTGGAGAGCTTTCATTAATGCCAAGTGAAGCTTAAATATGAAATCAATTATTTGGGGGAAAATAATTTCAGCTTAGCTGTGACTCTTTCACATAAGGTTCTTTACATTACCAAAAAAAGATTTCTTAAGTGGTTTTGGAGGGAATGAGGGTTTATTACAAGGATATATGTTCTTAAGTACTTGGGAAAAATGGAACTGGGTCTGAGGAAGGGCTGCCACTACAGAGCTCAGACAAGCTCTCTCATCTCTTGAGCTCAGTCTTGCTCTTTTATTCTTTCCCTATTTCCTCTCTCAGGAGTTCTGTATTTCTTTCATTCATTCTTTTTATCATTCTCTTTCAACTATCTTTCTCCATATAATCAGCTTGCACATACTATTATGTCTGCCAGCCCTTTAGCTCAGATTTTTGCTTAAAAGCCTGGCATTTACTATATACTTTTTTTTCTATAGAAAAAACAAAGTGTTCTGATTGGCTGAACTTATTTCTACCCAAGCAGAATTTGTAGGTTGGCCAAAATGCAACTAATGTCCATTTCACTCCAAAAACAAGCAACTTTTGAAAATAATCTGAGCACAAAGGAGACATTGAATGTTCTTGAGTTACAGGTGTGAGGTAAAATTATATGGCAAAGTTTTGCTATTAATATGATACGAAATCCAGAACATGGGTGAGAAAGAAGCACAGAGGAGTATTTGAGCATCTGATTCTGAAGTCAAACCACAGGATTTGAACTGCGGCTCTTCAGACTTCATTTGTCTCTCCTAAACCTTTCAAATGGGTATACAGAAACAATATTCTTCAGTGACTTATGAGAATTAGATAATTTTTCTGCCAGATATATAATAAATATAAAAAATCTACAAGAGAAAATGTTCCTTCTCACTCAGAAGTCAGAGGAAAGAAGGAAAGTTAAAGTCATAAACAGAATCTGAGGTAGAAAAAAAACAAGAAACTAATGGATTTTCTTCACAAATTACTTCAGTCTTCACTGCAAAGTACCTTCTGCCATCTAAAGCAATCTCTAGTGATGTTAGCCTGAGATGACAATAATTCCATATAAAAATAGTAAGAGTTAATGTCGATGATATCAACCTACACAGAGCAATGCTGAGTGAATTCTTTAAGTATTTACACATTGTGGTCCTGGCTGGTGTGGCTCAATCGATTGAGCACTGTCCTGCGAACCAAAGGGTCACCAGTTCGATTCCCAATCAGGCCATCTGCCTGGGATGCAGGCCAGGTCCCCAGCAGGGGGCCCGTGAGAGGCAACTATACATTGATGTTTCTCTCACTATCTTTCTCCTTCTGTTCCCCTCTCTCTAAAAATAAATAAATGAAATCTTTATAAAATATTTACACATTTTATAAAATAATAATAATATAGCATAAGCAATACCAATAAACATGATAGCATTTATTGAAGGTTTGCTATGTGTGGGGGTCCATCTTAATTGTTTTATATATACTTATATGTTTACACATACTTATATGCATCATTCCATTTACTACTTATATCCAGCCTAGGACCTTTTATTATCATTATTTAGGGAAACGGAAAATGAGGTACAGAGTTTAAATAACTGACTAAACTTGCAAAGGAAGCAACTAACTGTGGCAGTGTTCATAGCCTGACATTCTGCAATAGATAATACAGTCCATTGCTTCTGTGATCAGAGCAGGAACTTCAACAGCTCTCAGATTTTTTTCGTAAATATACTGACAATATGGATGAAATCTTTGAAGAAGATAAGAAACTGCAAAAAAGGTTTATTTCACGAAATAACAATGTAATAATAAACATATAATGATTAAAATATGTAACTGGTAAGTTGTTTTTTAACTGATTACAAAAAGAATCCTGGAAAGCAAAATAAATAGTTATTCAAAAACAGGAATTTGAAATCCTAGTGTAAGCAGTTTCCTTTGGCAGATTCTTCCATAATACTTTTTTTTTTTAAAACAAGGCTTTTGAGGAGTTAAGCAAAATTATCCCAACAAGAGTTGGAGGAACCTAAACAGGAAGCCTGGCCATTCCCAAACGCCTGTGATTTCTGAAACTGCCTCTGAGGCTTCCATTGCCCAATAGAGAGGAGCGACTTCGGGCAGATTCCTGGCTCGCCCTTTCGCTGCTCACAGGATCAGATTTCATTCCCTTCATTATTCTCCACTCCTCCCCTCCCTCACCCCGCCTCAGTTTCTTGATCTATATAAAAAAAGAAGTACAAAAGACAAATACTGTCTTCAACACCTGGAAGTGAAAACCCAAACCGCCTCAATTCTGCTTTGAAAAAATCTTTCCAAGAACTTTCTTCAGAGATTTTACATGTGAGTACTTAGCAATAGACACTGTAGCCCATGAGAAATAATGTTTATTTATTTTTTAGGGGGGAAATCAGCACTTACTGAGAGGTGAAGAGACGTGGGGAGGGCCATTGTCTGTAACCCTAAAATGAAAATTGACCCTTGTCTGTAAAAAAAGTAAATGTATATGGTCATGCAAAATTAAGTGCTCAGAAGTTTGCATTAAGTTTTTAAGCAAACATATATGCAATACATGTGTCTTAAAATTATAAACAATTTTGTAGAAATGGGTCAGATGTAGCCTTTTTTATAATTTTAAGCTTGTGGTGGCAATTCTTTATGAATTATGTTTGTTTAATTGGACTTTTCTAAATATATGGTTTCCCTTTAAATATTATTTAGTGAATGTAAAGAAATATAATAGACAATGTAAGATCTTTATATTTAAAGAAAACTTTTTCATTGCCATTAATTAATGATATTTAAAATGAGATATAAGCATTAGAATTCTTGTACTCTAAATTATTTTACATCAGCATTAACAAATCTCTTTATGGAAATATTTTACAAGTCACCAAAGACCAGAGCTCTTATTCTAAAATACTTAAATAAAAACATATATAATCAAGCCTATATATAAGGTAATTATGTAAATTAAATCAATAGATATATACCTACGTTATGTACTGTCATGTTCTTGTTGGTTGTGAAACTTTGCTTTTGGTAGCAAAAAAAAACATACAGCATAGAAGTATGTGTCCATAGAACTAGATAACAATTTTTTAATTGTGAAAAAAGCTCATTTGCATGAGAATGTCACCAAAAAGTGAGGAACTAGAGCAAGTTGCATGTAGAAAAAAGCAAACTGATAAGCAACAGCCACACTGTGACTCAGAGCTCTGGGAATTAGTCACAAAATGACTTTGCGTAATGTATAACATAAACACAAAGGTCAAACCCAAGCAGGAAACACACAGGTCAGAGAGTCATTCTTCATGTGTAAAAGCATAATATTTACGTCAGAGAGGTCAAATTGTGTCAATTTTGACTTACTGAAAAGTTTTTTAACCTAACAAAATCTTTTAATAAAACATTTGTAAGATTTTTTAAAGTTCATTCCAGTGCATAAGTGTTTCAAGACGTTATCTGTATCTCATCTATTCCTTAAACTAAGAGTAAATAACCTCTTTGAAAATTTATTGGCATACAAAAATTTAATTTGGGGCCTATAGGTTAATAAAATGATATAAAATACTCATAGGGACCAACTGAGATTAAAAAGTAATAAATACAGATGATTAACATTATAGATGTAAGAGTAAAGATTTAAAATCCTTCTTTCATTTAGAATGGAAGGACAAAGTGCTTCTCAGATAAGATCAAATTCAAGGAGTTCATCATCACCAAGCCCTTATTATATGAAATGTTAAAGGGACTTACCTAAGAAAAAGAAGATAAAAAAGATGAACAGTGAAAGGACAGCAAACTCACAGTTATCAATAACCACACCTAAAACAAAAGCAAACTAAGAGGACAGCTAGATCAGGAGCAGAACCATAGAAATGAAGATCACATGGAGGGTTAGCAACAGTGGAGTGGGAGGAGGAGAAGGGGGGAGAAGGTACAGAAAATAAGTAGCATAGACAGTATACAGAAAATAGATGGGGGGGCAAGAATAGTATGGGAAATATAGAATCTAAAGAACTTGAGACACATGGTCATAAACTAAAGGGGGGGTAATGGTGGGGGACAGGGAGGTAGGGTAGAGGGAAATGAAGGGGGAGAATAGAACAACTGTAATGACATAATCAATAAAAAATAAATTTTAAAAAAACTACAAAAAAAAGATTTAAAATCCTTAGAGTAAAACCAAATTTGTCTCCTGGCAACCATAGAATCTTGTTGGAAAACTTTATGACATTTACAAAGGTACCATTTGGTTCCTCTTTCTATTAATTATGCTAAATTGAAGAATTCTTTTTAAAGGTGCATTCTAATAGCATTTGTTTTACCTCCAAAAACTAGATCAAAACTCCTTGGGAGATGTGACTCCTGTGGCAATGGATGATGCCATCAGCTACTGCTTGCTAGCCTGAGTATCTGTAACTCTAGTCTTTCTTCACTTGTCCATGGTACAACTATTTCAATTGGAATCATTGATTGTTGCTAAATTAAAAATAAGGATAGCAATCTATAAAATAGAAAATTGTTTTTGTATTAAACTATAATTTTCATGTACTAGTTTGTTCCATCCTTTAAGAATTAATTTTCTGATCTTTGTTATATCTACATTATTGAAATTCAAATATTAATTGGGCAGGATGATAAACTATGGAGGAAAAAGGTTAATCTCAAAAGGTTAATTATTCCCTAGCAATCTAACAAAATAATAAATATGCTATAGATTCTTTAAGAAAGGTTGGCTTATTAAATTCAGTGTCACAAATTTTTAAGACAGACTTCAGCTTATATCTCTACCTAGTAGAAGAAAAACACCAAACTAAACAGCCAAAAACATAGATAGATAGATAGATAGATAGATAGATAGATAGATGATAGATAGATAAAAGTGGAACAAACAAAAGTGAAAAGGTAATGGAAGTACTCAGAACAGTTTTTTAATGTTTTTATTAGCAGAAAATTATATATGTTAAATGATAACATTGATTAAAATGGGTTAATTATATCATTAATTTATTTTTGCAATGGAGACTGATCTGAGAACTGTACTACAATCCAAGTCATCTATTTTTCAATAAAAGTTATTTCTTTTTTTTGTTTACCACCTAAAACATTTACCTTGAGTAATTTGATTTTCAGAGTTGACTTCTGAAGGACAAAAGGCATTATAGAGTGGATAGAATTATACCAATGCTATAATTTTCTGATCATTACCATGTGCATTAGGAGAAATCTGAATTCAAGACATGACATGACTATTGAAGTTCTTATTTCTGAATATTAATTTCACCAAAATGAAGAAAGGGTGCAAGTTTTTTCCCAGAGCCTTTTTTTTGCTAGGTCAACTTTCCTGGGCCTCCGAGACCCTCAGTGACCACTTTCTTGGTGTGATACCTCATCTCCAGGAGCCCGGGCTTCCCACTGCTCCCTCCCCTGTTTCTTCTCTAGACGTCAGGTGCCACATGGAAACAGAGCATAGGCTTCAACTACCAAAAGGCAGGGAGGGACCTAATCATTTCCACTTTCCTCTTTCCACTAACAATAACAGAAATCGTTGGACCCATGTCAAATCTGCTACATTACTCTCTCTTTAGGCCTTCCTTTGGGATTCTGTGTTCTCTCTAAGTTGAGAAAAAACAGAAGAGTAAAAGGACACCATGGTCCATAGTCAGAGTGCCAATGATGCACAATTCTGTCCCAATGGTTCTGGCAGACCACAGGTCCCTGAAGATACATGGACTTATTGCAAGGAATCCCCAGGCAAAATGTGTTGGTAGCATTTTTTACAGACTGAATAAGTATCATGTGTTGTTAATTAGGTTAGGAATTGGAAAGTATCGATCAATATGGCACAGATAAAATGCAGTGCTCTTGCTACAAGCGTAATGTGCCCCTGACACCCTTCAACTGGACCGCAGCGCCGCTCTGCTGCCAGCCTCACTCCGTCTGCCCTGTTTGTGAGTCCCACAACACCTCTCCCACCTGTAACTGCATCATAACCCATCTCTCAGCGTCACATCATTCCTCGTTTCCCAAGGCTTCCAAAGGGAGCAGGTCTCAGTAATGGGGTCAATTTCCAGAATAAAAGCATTTGTTGCAAAATTTTGGTAATATGTTTAAAATTTATGTCAGAAACTTCTAGGTACCCCAGGAAATAAAATGATTATATCAAATATGATATGTAATCCCTTTGCATGCAACTGGTTTCAAATAGACATGAACATAAAGTGAATGAATTTCTGATTCATGCATTATGCATGAACCTTGAAAATAGTACACTAAGTGAAATAAGCCAGACTGAAAAATAAAAAAATAGTGTATAATCCCACTTATATGGAATATCTAGAATAGGCAAGATTAGAGGTCACTTGAGTCTGGAAGGAATGGTGAGTTTTGCTTCATGAACACAAAGTTTCTGTTTGGGTGATAAAAAGTTGGGGGCATAATGGTGACAACTGCACAACATTGTAAATTTAATTAATGCCCCTGAATTGTATACTTAAAAATGATCAAAATATCACATTTTATATCTATTTTACCATAATAAAATTTAGTAGAAGCTATTAATAATAATTTAGTTTGAAGAATTCTAGAGCCATAATAATCTCTTTATATTTTCTTCATAGATACTTATATTTTCAAAAAGAAAAACAAGATACTCCTATTTTGTTTCATGACGGAACTTTGAACATATTTTCACATGAAATTGTTGTACTGCAAATCAATGTTTTTTACTCATAACATCTTCTTTCTTTTGCTGATATTGAGATAATTCAAGCCTCACAAAATTAAATTGCAAGTGTTTCTTCCCTTCTGTTAAATATTCTAGAAAAGTTAATGAAAATTGGCATTATTTCTTCTTTAAAGGCTTAGTAGAGTTGTGCTGTAAAACCATCCAGGCCTGAAGTTTTCCTGAAATACCATTTTCCTATCTTAATAATGGGTACATAGAAAACTGTATACAAAAAGCAGGAAAAATAGAGTAGCCAAAGTTCTTTCTGTATCATTCTCTTTCTTCATATGAACAGTAAACATAATAGAGACACAGTTAATGCATGCAATCTTCTCTTTCTCTTCTCACACCCAATTTTTAAATATTCATTGTATTTTTTTCCATTTTCTTTCATTTGGAGCTATTGGCATTAGTAGTTAAGTGGAACTGTGTTCTTGGAAACCTCCATTTTGGTTCGCATATATGATACCAACTTTTACTTGTTATTTTTCCCAAATTAAAGAAAAAAGTGGAAACAGCATGCAATGACGAGCTTTGCTTTGAAACGAACTGGGTTAGTACGGGAATCAAAGCCACTGTGTGGAGGAGAGGTGAAGCAACTCAAAGAAAC